GTCTTAGCAGCTTAGCCCACTGCATTCAATTTCAAATCACTTAACTTCACAAAAGTTATTCAAAATGGATATGCAAAACCTTACTCTGGAATTGCAAGTGAAATACTGTCATTTATATTTTTGAGTAGGTAATATTTTGACCAAACTACCATCCCTTTAATCTATCTGACTTGGTTTTAAGCATGGGTTTAATTTTAAAGAGATCTATAGAAAAAAGTTCTACTGGCTTTTGGGGGAATTTTGGCTGCTTAAAAACCTCATGGATTGGTCTCTCTAATAATACAGAATTATAATTATATCTGCTGTGTGTAAGGTTAATGACCACTAACAGGGAGGTTTTTTTAAAAAATCATTTAAAAATCTAATTTTTTTGAAATTGCAGAAAAGTAACAGTTACCAATAAGGCTGAGCGGTTGAAGGAAGGCTAAACTTAATTAAAATGATGAACTACAAAATCAACTGAAACTAAGTATTGTTGCTAAACTGACTTTGTATTAGGGATCAATTAAAGCAAGTATGTACCATCGAAAGGTATGTCTAAATCCTTACTTGTTTACAGAAAGGTCATAGAAATCTCCTGATAAACATTTATGATTGTGACAGAAGTAAAAAATTCATATAAAAATCATAAATTGCATACTGACTTCTCAGGCAGTTTGAAAGGACATTGCATTCTTCTATGTTATAGCTACATATGCATAGAAATTAATATTGACATTTTCCAGTAAAGTTCTTGTGACCCAAGAGTCCAAGATAAATTAAACATTGGCTAAAGGGATGCATGGTTATATAAACCTTATTGGATGGGATTTTGTGTAGCCCACCATTAAACTACTCATACTACATTCCAACCAATCTGCCCCTGCTTCTTGATTGGAAGCAATCTGAGGGCAAGGACTGCTGTTGAAGTCCATCTCTGAATCCCCAGAGTCTAGCAAAGTACTTAGCAAGCAACAGGCATTTGAAGATATTTGTGAAGCAAAGAGTACATAAACAAATGAATGTGAATGCTCTCTTGTAGAAGTTAACAGTTGCTACACAGGGAAAAGTATCTCCACTAACAAGTAGGGAGTACTGGATAAAGCCTTTGGCTGCTACCACTTCAAAACAGTTAATCACAAATGTTCATAATCACCTGGGCTCATCTGACTTTTTTTTTTTTTTTTGATACAGAGTCTCACTTTGTTGCCCAGGCTAGAGTGAGTGCAGTGGCATCAGCCTAGCTCACAGCAACCTCAATATCCTGGGCTCAAGTGATCCTACTGTCTCAGCTTTCCGAGTAGCTGGGACTACAGGCATGTGCCACCACACCCGGCTAATTTTTTGTATATATATTTTTAGTTGGTCAATTAATTTCTTTCTATTTTTAGTAGAGACGGTGTCTCACTCAGGCTGGTTTCGAACTCCTGACCTGGAGCAATCCGCCACCTCCCAGAGTGCTAGGATTACAGGCATGAGCCACCATGCCCGGCCCTGACTTTTTGACACTTTGCCAAATAAATGCATTCCTGGAATCTGACCACAAGTAAATAAATGAATATCAAAACGTGAGCCAATAGGGCCCCCACTCAGGGATTTTTCTCAAATGAGCATTTCAATATGAAGACCATAATCTAATCTTTTCTACAAGCAAGGACAGCTGAATGCGCACAGAGCTAAATCCTACAACAACCCAAACCCTTAAACACTTTTTGGTGTTTAAAACATCATGTTCACATGTTTGGAAAAGAAAAAAAAAAACCTTTAAGGATGAAGTTCTCACGACCTAAGATTCCAAGAACAATTTAACAAAATATATCCTTCCCCTGAAATTTGCTCATTTTGATACTATGTTTTTATCCCTTCCACATCTCACCTGTCTCCCATTCAATACTGGATGAGATAATATTGTATAATCTACTACCTACATGCTTTCCTGAATAATGTGAGAATGAAATTGTGATATGGAAAATCAATGAGGAACGAGTTTCTCTGGGAATCTGTATCAAATTAATTATTGTAAGGAAGGGACTAGCAATATATCAATAGTCTGACTAGGTGTTATCACAAATATAACTATTGATGGTATCGTCCTGAGCTCCAGGCACTGTGGAATTTTTATGTGAACACAGATCTTGACTATACTTTTACTTCCTTTCTTTTAGCATTTATATTTCCATTTGAATCAAACAACAGTGAATGCCATGGTTTTTGTTCACTCTGGCGATCATTCTAGGGTTCTGATGGCTTTTCAGAGTTTACTGGACTCAACAAATATGGGAAAAATAAACCCCTTTCAGGCCAGGAACTTGTTTGCAAAATCCATTCAAGTCAGAGGAAGATGAAAGAGAGAAATTCAGGTTTTAACAATTATACAGAGACTCTTAATAATTAAGATAGGAAATGAAGAGCATATAACTCTGTTCTAATACATTTAAAATTCTAATGGGTATGCACAGTTGTTGAAATGTTAGCTTAAAACTTTATACAAATTATGAATACTAGCTGTAAATGCAGTATA